TTGTCCAGAACTACAATCTTGACATAAGCCATAAAAAGGGGGCCGATAATGTTCTTGCCGATGCACTATCTCGTGCTATGTAAATAGAAAATGTTTATTGTCAGGTCCAAACATACTGTTTGGATTTATATGTGTGGGGGTGTTACGTGCCAGGCAGGCTGTACTTGTGTGGTTTTCCTTCCCTCCTGTGTTTCTCTCTTCTCCCTTTCTTCTGCACAGCTAATCAGCAGCTGATCGGTATCTGCCTGTGCACCTGAGTCTGATGGCTGATTGGATCCTCTCACCCTTAGCTGGCCTATCAGCAGCCAGGGCCGACCATAAAGGAGGCACCCAGGAAGTCTTCTCGCTCTCTCTCACCCTGTTGCTGATTGAGGAGCCTGAATTGACTGCCTTGTTTAGAAGCTCATTCTACTTTGTTCTTGTGTGTGTGTGTGTGTGTGTGTGTGTGTGTGTGTGTGTGTGTGTGTAAAGACACACTAGGTTAGCGGATTGTTGACACCCCTGTATTCTGTTTTGTCCAGTTCTGAGTAGTTTAGTTAGTGAGGATTTGGTTTCAAAGGATAGATGTAGAGATAGGCCTGGTTTTGTTATGCTTATTTATTTTGTTTGGCACAATCTCCTCCTCCTCCTCCTCCTCCTCCTCCTCCTCCTCCTCCTCCTCCTCACACAAAGAGTATTTCTGTTTAATTTCTGTTCAGTTAGGTTTACAGAAACAAACCTTTTGTCAACCTTTACGCTGACTCCCTCATTTTTATTGGTTGTTGTGTGTTATTGTCTCCAGGTCCCCTAGACCTTAGTGGGGACGTAATAATGCTATACAAAGTCAGGATCACAAAAGTCATTGGGATTCATTCTCAGGGAACCATTTTTTGGAAAAAATAAAGATTTTAAGATGTTCACAATCCATCAGGAGTTTTCAATGTGAAGCAAACACTGCTATGATGGAACCAGGGTTAAACCTGTCAAATGCATGAGACATCATGTAGCAACACACAGCATTGGCCAATCAATTACATGCAAGTAGTTGTGGATGGACCATGACATTTGCAGTTATCACAAATGTTGTAACAAAATACAAAAGGGTTATAGCTTTGGCAACCTTTCAGAGTAGTAAACTCCTGTCGTGAGCGGGACAGGTCTTTTTTCTGAATGTCTGCAATGAAGTGTCCAGACCTGTCCAGGGTGTTTGAAGCTTGCTGATATATACTCAAGACCACCCACCTTGAAATGAAATGACAAAGTGAAGATGCAGGAAATAAACATTTACATAATAGACCCAACGAGACATTACTGCCTATATTTGTATATATAGTCCTTTAAGTGACTGGATTGTACAAGCTAGATGTGTCAAATCAAACAATTCCCCAGGCTTTCTTTCTTCCTTCTTTTCATCCACCAGGAACATTTAGCACAGTCAGAACAGATGATATTCCTCCTCTTATTTGATGTTAAAAGTCCAGAAAGCTCTCAGGGAAATTATTACTTTTCATATGAAAGATACCTTAAGCAGGGAGGAAATGCTGCTCACTCTTCGGGGCAGACACACAGAAGTGACAGCAGCAGCTGCTGTTAGAATCTACTCACTTCAAAGCCAACAGGCTAGGTGTCTTTCTTTTCACATGCTCCAGGCGTGTCTCAACCAGCGGATGTTTAACTTTTCCCTAATCCACATTAAGAGTGTTCAGGTCATTGGTATCACTTTGGAGCAACGCCTCCCCCCTTCCTGCACACACACATGCATGTATGCTCAACATGCCTGACCTCGGAAGGGATGTTGCTATTTCTTACAACACACTTTGCTTCAAATATAACCCATACTTGATAATAATAAAAGACAAAATGTGTGTAAGATATCTTAACCTCAAAACAAGGCATGGGTACAAAATAATATGTGAAGGATGTAGACATTTTATATTTATATACAGAGCACCCTTAGCAAGACGCTACTCTCATGTTAAGCTAACGGAACTGCAAGCGGCTAACGCTAAACAAGTGAACCCTCAACTGACTCTGGAAATACACATTCACACTACAAATTACCATCAATCTCAATTTGTGATAACTTATGTGATAAGTTAACGCAGTCAATACTTAATAAAAATTTACAAAGAAATGTGCTAACGTACATATCCCAAGATTATTGGAGATAAAAACCCCAGTACCTGCAGTACTATGCTAGCTGCCTGGCTATAGCTGCTAGCCTTCTGCAAATCTTAGCATGAAAGTGAACAGCGTGTTTCACATTATTCAAACAATGTTTTTGAGGATTTAATCCAGAAAATAATGTATTTATTGTACTCACCAACGAGTCTCTTGATAGCTGACACAGCACACCACTAAGTCCCGGCTTCAATTACGGCCTTGGAGCCTGTCACGCCCTTCTCTCTTTTACCCCATGTTTACACTGTCAACTGACATTATTTAATTTTCTTTAGTAAATTGTTATATTGTCATTAGTATACTTACTTTTTGTATATTTTTTGTAAAAAAAATGTCTTTTTTAATCTTTTAATTAGTCTTGCTAATAGTTCTACTGTAGCCTATATTTGCGCAATTTTTTTTACACCTTTATTCCTCTTACCACATTTATGTATGCACCATTATACACCAAAAGCAATTTTATGAATGCAAACCTACTTAAAATAAATAAACCTGATTCTCATATTATGAAACCGGGTAGCCTATTTAATTGTTCTACCAGCCCTATGAGGTGAAAATGAGAAATGTTTGCTAGCGGAAACCTTGGGCCTGTTTCTTGGTGAAAGGTTGCGCGATCGGTAGACTGGTTTCTGAGGATCTGGGTGGGGGTGGGATGGGTGAGGATGGTTATGGGGAATGTGAGGAATGTGAATGCAGACTCAAAGTCAACAAGGTCACTACGCAAACAGCAGCAACACTCACCAACCCAGACTGACATTATCTATAAGCTGCTCAGAGTCGGAGGGAAAACAGCCTGTTGTCAAGGCAGAGACACGTGATTTATTTCTCTCTGTTGGTAGTAGTAAAGAAGGGGATGTAGAAGAAGCAGCATATTTGAGGTGGTGATGACTACTATATTGTTCGGCAGAATAACAAATCTTGACTAATAAAGTAGTTGGTTTGGTGGAAAATAATCTGTAATCTAATGTAAATGTGAAACTCATAATAATCTGCATGAACCAATTAAGTACCAAATCCGGTGATAGAAGGCTGTGCAGTTTAAGGAATGTTCGTATAAGAATTTAGCATCACCACATCTCATTTTAATCAAGATGTGTGCAATAATCCAGACTGGAATTTTCTATCTTTGAGTTTTTAAAAAGTGAATTAATTCAGAAAAGTTATACTATCTGACTTCGCAGTCACGTTATATAAAACTACAGGTGAAACATGGCAAATGAATATCATCAAAACATCTAACTCCTGGCACTGTAGGGAACTAACATAGTCGTCTGATAAATAAAAAATTACTACTAAATTAGGAGAGAAGCTTGGTCATGGTGACAAAAATAAACATTTTGTTATGGAAAGATGGTGGCGACAATGAAAAACAACTGTCCGTTGGATGGAAACAGCAAACAAAAAGTAGTCTACTGTGACAATTGACGGCTTTAAACGTTGGACCTGTGAAGATAGACAAAATATTATACATCATATCCACTAATGCATATCTCTCTATCCTTTAAACTAAAACACTGCATCAGTTTCCCATAGCCCTCAGGACAGAGAGTAGTACCGAATGGTCTGAGGACTTGTTGCTATTTCTATAAATAACACTTGGGTGGCCTCATATCTCCTTTCTACCCGATGGCCGCCTTATAGCCTTGATCTACTCTTTTCCTCCAGATGTTTGGAGGAAAAGGATTTTAGCACAGATGCCCCAGTAGCCCTGGTCAGTGTTACAGCATTGACATGTCTTTTTAAAGACTACCTGTCGTTCCGACCCAGATTCTCTAAAGTCAACAGTGGGTCCAAAGAGAAGACCCCGGAGCCCCCAGGTTTATAATTGATCCCTGAGCTGCTTCTTCCGCTAAGTGCCCCCAAAACTGAACTTCGGGAATCTTTCCCCAGCCTTTCTTACTCATCTCATCTGTAAATAGATCATTTCCTCCTACCGATGCACCCCCGATGTTTGTGTGACCTCAGGACGGAGATGACATGTTGTAAAATGTTGGCGCTTTAAAATCATCCAGCTGTCCCCGACCCCTTCCCCACCACCCACGCTTTATACTGCCACTCTGCAGTCTAAACACACCTCACTTTAAAATATTCCTTATTGCATCCAGAACCTAAACGCTCTCATTGCTGAGGCTTAGCCACCAGCGGTTCCCACACTCAGAGAGCGAGCTGCTGATGGGCTGATATCACACTCTGCACGCCATACCTCCAACCTCTTGTGACTCCCAGTGTTACTACTAGTAACAAAGCTACTTGTCTGAAATCCAATAATAACTAGAAAACCTAGTACCCTTCAACAAGACACCTTTATGGGCAGCTGTTTTTTTTTCTGTGGATAAATGTGTGAAAAATCCGGTATCAGTGGATGTTGCATGACTGTAATAAGTCCATACCATCAATTTATCTGCTCCAAATAAAATGAAAACTAGGGTCAAATGTCTGGTACACTTGGATGGAAAACTAGCTTGTAATAGTTGTGTTTGTTTTCTGTTATTCTACACATTTCATCTTTTGTATTCTGTTTTTAATCGCATAAAAATGAGAACAAAGGCCAATTTGGTTATCCCTTTTTGTTTATGTGAACAAACTAAAATCTAATAGTTTGTTTATTCATTTGGCTTTTCCTTTAGCATCAGTTCATTCATTTTTATCAAAACAGCCTTTAACGGCTCACAATAAATAGAGCGCACTAGCCTTACATTTACTTTTTTACCTGCAGAACCCCATAGTGCGACACCAAATCCTAAAAGGATTGTACTAGTAAGTACAACTTGAGCTGAGATAACTTTGTATATACACCTGCTTTCAAAAACATGAAACAAGAAAGTCAGCATTTCTCCAGGTTGTATTCATCCAGTAACTGTTTTATTGCAAGCTGTAAACACAAACTGAAATATTTCCCACTTCAAAGAACTGAAACGACAATAACAGCAAGTGACCTGAAGGCCACAGTGCTTTATTTGTCCACAAAAAGATATTATCTGTCAAAGTGTTCTCTGTCCCCTCCTGTGTCAATGTTGACAGAACCCAGCATTTCATCAAACCTATCTCTCAGTATCAAATATCACTTCAAAAATATACTCTAAGAAAATATTTTAGAATACAAAATAAGCTCTACAACTACCCAGCACTTCATCCATGTTTAAACAAGCAGACCAAATGCTACTACCTTGGAAATTAAAGGGTGTTAGTGGAAGGGAAGTTCCCTTGAAGGCGATCAGCTGATACATTGTGTCTGCTTTGGAAGCTTGTGAAGGATTATATGTGGTCTGTGTCTGAGGCCTGAGCACCTTCCTTATTTACACAACATAATCACCTATAAGTGAATCAAAAGCAGTGTCTCTCAGAGCTCCGTCTTCCCGTCGCTCGCGGAGCCGCTGGCTGCTCCACCCTCGGCCGCGGAACTGGAGGTGGAGGAGGCCGCGTCTTTGGACTGGAAACCCAACGAGGCCGAGTTAATGCAGTATCTCTTTCCTGTGGGTTTTGGTCCATCGTCAAACAGGTGTCCCAGGTGAGATCCACACTGAAACACAATGGGAAAGATCGAGCTCCAGCTTTTTATGGAGAACATGATGGCTTTACAGGAGAAGGGGGCAGTGTCAGGAAGGACCGTTGATGACATTGTTTTTTAGGCAAAAGGGAGCTGTGTTATTACAGAAAGGGCTAATAATGGTCTTATGCCCTGTTATTCCCTCTAGGCCAGGGGTGTCCAAACTTGTGGGTTTATTGCCTCATAAGTGAAGTTATAAGTTATCAAAATCAATCAAATGTAAGTAAATGATGCTTGATACAACAGCCTACATCACAGCTTTCCATAGGGTTTCAGTTAGCAGCTCATTCCTTAAAAGTTAAACAGAAGCCTCAGATTGCTTATCATAAGAGGAAATAGGAAGGGTATATTTCAAGGTTGTTATGTAAATAAGTTATTGGGCTTTTTTATTATCAACTTAGATTTGTTAGAACATTCAACTTTAACTGACTGAAAGTGGGTTTATTAACACATGAACACTAGTGTGTAATATATGTTTACAGATATTTTTAAGAAGTACAATACAAGCTCCATCTGTGGGCTACATCCCATTATACTTTTTTTATTTGCTGAAGGCCGATTCAAAATGTAGTTTGGACACCCCTGCTCTAGACAATGGGTGACCTGACAGGAGGTAAAGTCATTTTTTCTTCTGCAGTGCTTTGATTTGATTCTAGCAGTGACTCTGTGCTAAAGGAGCTAACAACAGTGTTCAGTGTACCTGGCTGCAGGTCATCTCCACTCTGTGTATCCCATAGGAGAAATCATCTGTCACAGTGACGGACTCCTCCTTCATGAGGTCGAAGAAAGACGGCCAACCTGAACAGATGTTGTGTCGTGTTAGGAAGATGTCAGCACACAGGAGGACAGACATGCAGCACTGGTCGTATATTGTATATGTGATTATTGATTTGTTTGGTTCACACTTGGGTCCAGACTTGAATATTCTTGCATTTCACTTCCTCATAGGAACCCTAGCTCACCACTGAGGAGTAACACACACACTGAGAGCCAAATCAATTTTACTGGAAGCAAGACTGTGATGTTTGTGCCCCCTGCTGACTGACTGCTTTCTTGTCTCAGTATATGTGACTGTAATACAAAGCTCAGCACATTCACAACAAACTGTTTCAGTAAAATCTAACAGAAGAGCAATTTACGATTCAAACAGAAGTCATCATGTAGTCTTTAGTGATTGTATTATGTTATAAAACATGACTGTTCCTACATTAGTAAAACAATTGACTACACCAGAGTACACTGGGTATATATATATGCTTAAACTAACAAGAGCCCCTGATTGAGTTGTCAGTTGTAGAAAAGTAAATTAAATGTATTCTAACCCAAACACAAGAAGACTGTTTTTGTTGTATGTACATAATATATAGTCAATAATTGTAGCTTATTAGTCTGCATTTATATGCATTTCAACTTACCCGATCCAGAGTCAAATTTTGTGTCGGAGCTACAAAAGGAAACACAAATGTCAATGACAATTAGTTAATTGTTTGGTTTCATCTTACATTTGTTTAATCATAGAGATCGCTCCCAATATGCAGTTTTCCATTAAAGATAACCACACACACACACACACACACACACACCTGAACAGCGCGGTGCTGCAGACAACACAGGTGTAGGTCCCCTCATCTTTATTATGAGTGAAGCTTCCAGTGAAGGCACTGTGGGAAATAAATGTATTAGTGAACTTACATGGCTCAATAGGATGAGCAAGTGTTGTGTTTCTAAGTGTTTATGGTGCTACCTCTCAGTTCCTCTCTCCTGGGTCACATGGTACTGAGCCGGAGTGAGGCGCTTCTTCAGCTCCTCCTTAGGGAACTTCACCGGCCATGTCTTCTTCGTCCTACATGCTCCTGAGGGGACAAAGAAGGACAAAATAATGTGATGTTTCTTGATGGCAATAGGAAAACAAAGTCACCATTTCATGCTAAAAAAAACACAGTTTCCTCTGTATCAGCGACTAGTGCTTTCATGTGTCAGTGCCAGCTGTTCAGGACTAACTTGATATTGTGGTCAAGGTCTTCTTTTCTTTAGAATTTTCCTGACATGATGAGTACATCTCAAATAATTCCGTAGCTCCAATATCAATGTCTGAACACGCTCACTGCTCCATAATGAACACTAAGGATAATTGATTGTGCAGGGCCAAACATAAAAAACATCTGTTTTATCCAAAAAAAGAACCTATTAGGAATGAAACATTTACAACATTAAGTGCAAAGTTAAACAAAAACACAAGAGTTAGTGCGTGCAAGCTGCAAGGAAGCAAAGCGTGAGTCATATTTTTCTGTTAGCATGTGTAGCATGTGAGGAGAGCTACATGTACACACTCAACAGATGCTGAACTCAAGAAGATATACAACAAATTAAGCACCCTGCTGAAATTTTTCAAAACCTATTGCACTAATGTTTGCATGGTTACAAACACTGCTGTACACAAAGCCAATTTCAAAAAGCCTTTGTGGATTTCTATGTTTGAAAGTACTTTAAAGGTCCCATGTCATGCTTTTCCGGTTATTACCTGTCCCCTTGTGTTATGAAGGTTTTTACGCCTCGTTGGAGATTTCTAATTTTCCATTGTTTACTTCCTGGGTATCGCTACGTAAGGATACCCAATAGCCACGCCCAGAGCTATGGCCGCACCCTCTGCCAGCCTTTCACGAAACAAAGCTTCCCAAAACCTTTCAGCGATTCATGCCGGGTATGCACAGCGTAGGGCACTGAAGGACGATGCTGTTCCTACTTTGTTTGGACCAGTGGGAGATTCGGGTACACAACCTGTAAGTATTCATTGTTGTTTGTGTTTAAAACAAACAAGGTATCTACCACGACTGTATAAATGGGTAAACGTTTTTCGGGCTACTACGTTGGGATCGCGGAGAAATGCTCTCCACAGACCCATGCTCACAGCCTTATAAACCTTTTTCTTACTCAATATCAAGCCACACTTATTGCTTTTACTTCGGCTGTGAGTGTTTGTGTGTGCTCAGGATGAGTTTCGCTTGTTCTCGCTGTATCGCCGACACGGAAGCCTGTCTGCTCCTCGCAGCAGCTGCGAGCAGCAACGAGGCTCTCAACGTCCCGACCAATCAGAGCAAACTGGGCTCACAGGGAGGGGGGGGGGGGGGGGGCAGGAGCTCCAACAAGCCATTTAGGACAGAGTGAATACCTGGTGAATAAACATACTTTACAGAGATGCTGTATGAGAAACCAATGTGAGTTTGGAAAATTGCACAGTATAAATCTATTTTAGTAGACCTCAACAATGGAATTATGATCAGTAGAAATGGCCATGACATGGGACCTTTAAAAACATGACATTTTACATTACAGGGGCTGTATCCCTTATAAGAACCCTTTACTTTCATAAATATAGCACTTTGGAAGATTTTAAATGCCAAAAAGAAAAAAGATTCAAACAAGAGAAATGTAGGATTTTAATCCCATCATAAAATCAAACCACAACACTTCAGTGTTATCCAGCAGAGAGCAGTATAGTACTGCTAAAAGTAAATACAAAACGTCTTCTTTCTTTTGGTGAAAGGGAGCTTTTTCAGTTTTCCTCAAATCCCTTTGTATGGCAAACTAGGATGGACTGGTTTTTTCTAAAAAAAATGTTTGTAAGTACTTACTGAGAATTCCAATCTCTTCATACTTCGTTCTCTCAGTTGTGATTTGATTTTAATGCCACGTTGAAAATTCATGTCACACTGAATATTTGTCATTCAATACTAGCTGAAAATATTTGTATTTTAAGACCTTTTTTATTTATTAATTTGGACCCTAATGCATACATAAAAAAGCAGATACACCTTATTATCTGTAATGGAATATGTATAAAATGCCACTTTCTTTATTAAATGTCTTTGCTTTTTATATATTATATACAGATAATAAGATTTATTAAACCAGTTTTAGGCACCAATTTAGGCAATATCTGATCAAAGAATGACTAAATAAGACTCAAGAAGTATTGCAATATTAAACAAGGCAAAACAGATTCTTGATCAAAATTCCCTCTACATTCTTTACTGTTCATTGGTGTTACCTTATTTAAGTTACTGTGCAGAGGTTTGGGGCAGTAATTATAAAACTACAACACAATCCCTATTTATTCTACAAAAAAGAGCAATAAGTAATAACTTATTAAAAATGTCGGCTATAGGGATCATACAAACCCATTATTCTTAGAGCTAAAATTATGAAAACTGTCAGATCTTGTTGAATTCCAAATTGCACAAATCATGTTGAAGGCAAAAAACGTTCAATTACCTGGGAATATTCAGATATTGTTCAATGAAAGACAAGGGAATTATAATTTACGTGGTTCATTTATATTCACTAATGTTAGGGTGCGCACAACAAAGAGAAGTTTTTGTGTTCCTGTTTGTGGGGTGAAGATCTGGAACAATTTGAGTGAGGAGCTAAAGGGATGTCCAAACATCAAACTATTCAAAAAGAGGTATAAAGACAATTCTCACAAGGAACAGGGAGGAAACTGCTAAACCATAACTGTTTATATTCTTGTTTTGTATTCTATTTACGAATTTGTGTTTGTATGAATTTGTGTATGTACATATGTATATATATAGGGACCATTCTCCTAACTTGCCTGTATATATTATATGAATGATTATATAAATTATTCAAGATTATAAGTATACATTTATATTGTATGTTAACATATATTAAGATGTAAAAAAAAAATTAAAAAAAAGGGAGAAGGGGTCGGATTAAATAAGTGTAAACTTCTTCCGATCCCTTTTCGGACGTGTAATTAGCTAAAGCTTTGTTGTTTATTGATATCAGACGATGATACTACAGATTATTCAATTATTAATCAAATATTTCGTTTTGTTATTGCATTCATTTGTATAGTACTGTATCATGTCTGTATCATCTTTTGTTTCATTTGTATTTTCTTTGGTTTTACACGCTCGAAAAAAATTAAATAAACTAAACTAAGAATCTGACCAAGTACGGTGACATTTTGATACTCACTGCAACAAAAGCAAATACTCTTATACTGTTCAGAAGTAGGCGCTCTCAAGTATCGTTCACTGCAAATGTGAGAAAAGCACTAAAAGCGCTGTGATCACACGTACACTGGGACAGTAAAGACATGCGGACACACCAGCCGGCTGTTAAGGCTTTAGAGAGGCAGAGCACAGCAGGCACACAGCACCCAGTCAGTGGACCTGAGGGAAGACTGCAGGGCCTCAGAGCCACAGGCTGGCTCTTGGTTATTAGATGCAGCAGGTTGAAGCCCGACATGGCTGCTGGAGAGAGGAGCTCCACCCACCAGTAGAACCAAACCACCTCACAGCAGGGCTACAACCAAGATCTAGGCTGGATGAAGGGGAGCAGACAAGAGGGAGAAACAACACAGGTCAACATGATGAACGCCATTCAAGACAAGATGAGGAAGTCAGGAACCGTTTGGTATTCCCACTGTTAATGAAGAGTTTGAAGGACATTCGTTAACAGGCACGGACACAAAAACAAAAACTGTGATATCCTATGCTGCATGGATGACTCATTACTTCAATAAAACATCAATGCAGTCACCTTGAAGAAATGAAATACGCAATGAAAGACATCTCTGAAAGTGATACCCAAGTCTACGGAAGAGGATGAGGGCCACGTCATTTTTAGATCTAACCAAAAGGGGGTTTCTTTGGTCGACTTTTGGTCAAACCTCAACAAAATAAAAACATTTACATGTGGCCCCATCCTCTTCTGTACAAGTCCCTTACAGACTATAAGCAGACAAATTCTACCAGACAATAATACCATAACAGAATTTGTGTTTGCTGAAAACAGTCCATTTTGTGCTTTGTCCTCAAGCTCAGTCTTAACCAAAATACATTGAATTTGCAAATAAGATCTGGTGGCTTTAAACATCTGAAGAGAATGCAGATACATTTGTGTAACGATACACACGACAAGTCACAATTTGGCCCAAAGTTCAATACTAAGAGTATGTTTTTAAATGTATCTGATCAAAGGAGAACGTTTTAGTGGGTCACTTTGAATATGAGCTTTATACAGAAGCATGATTTTAGTTTGGAAGAGGGCCAGTGAATTTCCTTTGCAACAAACTAGGAAACAATGTATTTGTTTGTTGTTGTTTCTGTCTATTAAATAAAGGACTGCACCAAGGTTTTGCACAGGAAGAATTGACAAAATGCATGTTTGGACATAAATGGAAATGGTGGCCCTTTTCAGAGATTCTAATTTATCACCGCAGACTGACCCCTGACACGCAAAACTGAAACTGAAACTGAAAGAGAAAATCAACAATGAGTGGTAATGTGTTAGCTGACAGAGGGAGAGGTCCAGAGAGTAAAAAAGACAGAGAAAGAGAGAAAAAGCCAGCAGTCGCACCGGGACATGTTAATGCAGGAGCTAAGTGTTACTCTACCTAGAAGAGCAGCAGGCAGTGCAGGGTGGCAGACTGAGTGGCTGCCTTGCCCAAGGGCGTGATGCAAGGCCACGAAAAGCCCACGTCTGAGGAGGGCGGCCATGAGACACAGTCACACTGAAGAGAGAAAGAAGGAGAGGAAGACGTAGAGAAAGAGAAGCACAGCTGATGAATTACTCGTGTGTACACATCAGTTTCCCACCCTCCACTGCTGGCTTGCTTGAGTTAAAGATGTTACTTGTCAAACAGGTAGGATTTGACATTTGATTTACTCGTAGGCAAAGAACAGTGCCAGTTTTCCAATGAGAGACGAAGATCACCAAAGGGCTTTGTTTTTTTAACACTGAATAACAACAAATAAGCAGTGAGTGAACTCCTGCCATTTTCTGCTAATGTGAGATGTCACATATAACAAAAGACTGATAGTTTGGGGCAAAGAAAAAGCATAAAAAAGTAGCTTTTAGTTAGTCTCAATGTTGCCGAGTATTTAATTTGATTAATGCATGACATTAATGACCTCCTCATTTTCTTCTGTTGTAATTTTTGTATAATGCAAGGCCTATATTTAATAGTTTTTAAATGGTCTATTCATACACTCCTTTCAATTATCTTTTTAAAGAACTAAAGATGTGGTGCCGTGCAAGCTTCTACCACTAGATGTCAGTTGTTTTGTGTAGCAAGTGATTAGGTAGGTTGGAAATTGTTTCATGAAGAAATATATTATAAGCCTTTTTTTATGGTTCAAATTAAAACTATATGTATAGGGCCTATTAGCTATATTTCAAGTGAATATAGCACACTCTAGTATGACTCTTTAATTTCACAGAACATGAAATGATACGGTTAAATTATAATAATTTGTAGTTGTCTATTTGTTGTTGTTTTTCTTGGACATTCTTTATGTCATTTGAGTTTATAAGCTACGTGTAGCTTAGTTATGCATGTGTTCAATTTGACACATGAGTGCATATGTTTATTAGTAATTGTAAACCGACCTTCAATTACATTTTTATTTTTTATTCTAACGTTATGCAAATCCAAATCAGGAAATACCACCGGTTTAACTTTGCCGAACTGCCGAGTCACATTACAATTGAATTACTAACTTGACCTGAATCACAAGTGCGCCATATTGGAACAGAGGGTGTGTTGTCGTGGAGGTTTCTATGCCGGGGCTGGTCTACTGACTGGTGTTACGTAGGCTAACGTTACCTTGGTAAAAGTCAGTTATTGTACCATATTTGGGTCTGTTAGCAAACTGCTGCCTGTCTGTGACAAATTTTGCTTGCTAACAAATAACCAAAAAAATAACATGCATGAAAAGTGACACTATCTTGTAGTTTTGTCAGTATTTTCTCGAATTGACGCTGTTATTCCTATTAGCTTCACGTCATGTTTTGAGCTGCTACATCCCGATAAAGCACATTTTCGTCACGGTTAAGCTAACGGTGACTATCGTACCCTAAATGACTCCACAAAATACAAAAGCCTGAGCTGACATTTACCTGAGAGAAGCAGCAGCAGCAGGAATATGATGTTAATAGTGAAGCTTCGAGTCGCCAGCTTTAACTTGCAGTGTCAGGTCTGCACAGAAAATGAGATCAGAATCAGACACACGGGCTAGCAAGGCTAACACGCTCCGTAGACCAACGGAATAACTGAGTGCACATCTCCAATTATGGCCAGGACCCCAGCCTCGTCACAAGGTGATGTAACCTGATTACAAACAAAACAGCCAACTCGCACTCACTCATCTCATTGAAATAGGAAAACGTTTCATATTACACCAATACAACGACTTAACCTGGCCTACTCAATGTTAACAAGGATGAATACAAATATTACTTTATATTTGGCTGCCTATTTTGGCTTTTGCTGTTGGGCAGACATGCTTGAAGGCCTATAGACTATATATAGGAGAGTTGGTTGGAGTTTAATACAAAAACATATCACACAGAGCCAAACCAATTAGGTGTTTTGGGTATAAAAAAACTAGACACCTGTAACTGAGAGAGGTATTTTGGAATTTGACATTATTGTTTAAAACTTGAGATATTATGTATATTAAAAACTTAAAACAGCCTTGTCATAGAGGAGTAAACGCTAAAGTACAGACTGTTTCTAGAATGTTCCTGCCCCACGTGTGCACATAAAACCAGCACAACAAGCACAATTTAAAAACTCCTAATAAACCTTTAATTTGACCTGTTTGTACAATTGACATATTACATTAAAACGTCTGTGTCTTCTTAAATGTCCGTAGTATTGAACACCCCCTCCCCTCTGGCTAGCAGGTTAGGGATACCCCAAACATACAATGTAATGGAAATAAAGCTGCATATAATAGTACATGTTGCAATTATATCAATGTACAGTGTTTACATAAAATACAGAGGAAAATAATGCTTTCATTTAAGATGCATTTAAAGGTGACGCACAAGGCTGGAGAAGTGTCATCACGTGTAACCAACATTTACATTCAGCCTCGTTACAGTCAGTGTGGGCTGAGACGTACAAAAATAGATTACAGTGATGCACTATTGACTGGCTTATTTCGGAAAGTGTTCACTTTATTTTGTCATTTTACACATCCTGACAATTGTTTGGAAGTGGATGTAAGGTCGACCCTCGATGAAAGAAAAGTTATGACACGTGTGTAACTGGTCTAGTGACATTAAAATAGTACATCACCTCAGCTGATTTAAACTAAATCATAATAATAAATAGAGAGAAGCATTTGGTTTAATATCAAAGTAAACTGCTACAAAATACCAAAATCTGAAGATGTCAAACTCTACCAAAACTACATCTATGGCAGGCCTTACTCACCCTTTAAACAGTTAAATCATTTCTTAAATCCAGTACATTCTGCAGTGCCAGTCTTCTTTTTAAAGCACAAATTTAAGGCACAGTTGGGTTGTTTTTGAACATTTGAAATGTGCATTTGTACAAGTTCACACTGCAAACACTGAATCCAACTTTCAATACACTGCATTTAAAAAAAAATATGTCTGTCAACTTTTCTGAATATACGGGTGCTGTAAGAACACACAAGCAGGAATCCGTAATTCAGTACAGTCTCCTTACAAGGGGGTTGGAATATTTGGGAGTTAAAGGTGTCGACATCCTCACAGTACTCCTTATGATAAGAGTGGTAGCGTCATAACAATAGGCTGATTTGATCAAAGAAGAAGTGACAGCATCAGGTTCTATCATGAACAAAAAAACATCCGTCTCACTTGAAGAGCAGATTGTAAACTGGACATGAAAAATCCTGTGCTAGTCTGGTCTGTCGCTCACACACTCTCACACACACACACGCAGAGATGACAGCACTTGCTTAGAACAGGTTTGGAAATATGAGGGGACACACCAACAGTGAAAATGACCCGACTTGGAAAGAGGTAAATAATAAACATAATTAAAAAAACAATAATAATTTGGGGATATATTGGATTATATCTGGAAAAGAAAGCTTCAGGTGACTGTTAAAACTCCCTGATTCTGTCAAAAGTTAGATGCTTAAACAAAATCAAAGACAAAAGGGAAGAGAAAAAGGCCATACATGGAATACAACAGAGGCTGAGTCAGCATCGCCACGGTTACCCCTGCTCTGCTTTGGGTGCTGCTGCAGCCTCTGGATACAGATGTGAGCAGCAAGAGAAATTTGAGCTTATGGTTTGCTTTTAATACAGAGGATGTAATAAAGCTTGCACCAGCATTCACATGTATTTACAGCACACCCTCTGCAAGTCTGTCCATGCCTTTCTCGCTTGACTAAATAATAATAATAATAATAATCAGAATAATAACAGGGAACATCATCGAGAAAACAACACCCACACTGTGCTGTAATTGAAAGCTTACATACATGCAGCCATTTCCAAATGAACTCCATCATGGCGTCAGTTAGACTGTGGAAGAGAAGGAGGGAGGGTTGGAGTCTCTGCACACATCTTAAATATCCCAGAAGAACTTTGCTTCCTTAGTAAAATCCATGACATTTTAATACAAAGATTATTGAAAAACAAACACTGCTTAACAACTTCTCTTGCGATCCCATGATGAAAAAAAAAGAAAAAGCTCTCCCGAGACAACAGACTGGAGTCTTCCCCGTTTTAAAAAAGCAGTGAAGGAGTAGCAGCAGACTGGTGCTGTCATGCTGGGAGGGCACAGAGGAGATCGGTTAAATAAAAAGCTGTTCTCATGAGAAGCCTGAAGAGTTGCCAGCGCCGCGGTGCTGCAGGTGCGGCACAGTGTTCATGGTGCCTGTGGTGCTCAGGGGGGGGCTGGAGGCCTTCAGAGGCGTGCTGCTGCCCTGGGCCTGCGGGAAGCGCTGGTGGTATCGGTCCAAACGCAGATACTTCACAGTCACCAGCTTACCTGTTGAACCAAAAGCAAGAGTCTATCACTGGCTATAATATTTTTGTAGGCTGACCCAGAAGTTGGCATCGCAAAGGCGACTTCTACATAAAGCCAATGGGATTCTATCATTGGATTTTGTAATATTGCAGGAAATTGCTCTGCGGCAAACACAAGATAATGATACTTACACCTTTTTGTTCAGCAGGATATTCCCCACACATTAACAACACTATGGTTTTCTAAAGCATGAATGCAATTGCCAGAAGTTAAGCGCTAAAAATAGGCTTTAAATAATATACGTTACTGTTGCATGTCTGCGCGTCACCACAGCTAAACTAAAAGCGTGATTGCATTTAATCTGACGTTTTTTAATGTGTCGTAGAACAAAAGGTGAAAATCTCACCAACATTATTTCAGGCATCTAACCAAAAACACATTTGAAAAACTGTTAGCTTTGAGACAGGGGAACCGATAATGCTAAAATGATAACTCATTTCTCATCCTCCATTAAACATACAGCAAGTACTGTTAGCTGCTAACTGATGGAAATGGTGACTGAGGAGGAGCACCTGAATGGTGAATGAATCAGGATCATTTGGAGATGCTTTTATCATCAGTAGTGCTTGATAAATAGAGGCTCATAGGAAGCTGAGCTGCTCCTAGCGGGTAGAGTTAAAACAATGCAGACCACTGATGTTCAAGGGGGATTCATGAAAACAAAACACAGGACAGATTGCCTGTCATGTTAAGATGATGCAGCAGTTTTAAGTGGCGCATCATCTGAGAAAAGGACCTGGTAACAGAATGAAGTCTAATCAGGCCGAACCAGTGGAAATGACACACGACCGGACTTACCATCAAACCAGGAGCCGTGAAGTGCCTTAAAGGCTCTCCCCGAGTGCTCTGCAGAAAGACACTTGACATAGACACAGCCCTGGGGAGAGAGCAAGAAGCACGGTGTGACATCACTGCAGCCGACAGGTCAGAGGTGTGACATCACTTCGTAGGACAGCGCTTACCTCTCGGGAGTTCTTGTCAACAGCGATGTGGACGATACCGTCGTTGTCGTTGCACTTCTCCAGGATGGCCTCGTGGATGGCTAGATCCCAGTTCTCCCCAACCTCCCTGAAAACACCAAGAGGTTACAAACAGGAAGTTAACTCGGGGAGAAGTTTGGTAGCTCTTCAGCAGGTCAAACAAGCAGCAGAGTCAGGTACTCACATGATCGGGTCAAACATGTTTCTGATCTTCAGACATGGAGTCAGGCTGTTGGGGGGGGAATTTCTCCGGTCCAGAGGGAAAGCTGAAGAGGAGAGACAAAGTCTTTGATTAGTGTATCAGAACACACAGCTGCATCAGTCGAGTCACCGTGTGCAACAAGGAGATAATGCGAGTTTCCATAAAGAGCATGCCCTCAGAAGAAGGTTGTTTAGAAGACATTTTCTACCAGGATGATGATGGTTTCAAATGCTCAGTAACGCTTAAAGAAAAAGTGTTTAACCTTTTCCCTGCCAGACTTTAGAGTTCATGGAGGACGTCTTGTCACAACTGAGAGACGGCTGGATCCACCTCCAGACCAGGAAGTCAGCTCCCCCGATCCTCTGAGTCTCTTTCCGAATCCTGGACTCATTGGCTGCGAGGAACTTCTCAGCCCGCTCCCAAATCTTCTTCATTTTCTTTCTGTAAAATATTAGGGATATTTAAACACCTTCTTCACCTGACGTAATTTATCTATGGTAGGGCTGAACGATTAATCGATTTTAAATGAAATTATGCGATTATCAAATCGCAAAGCCTGCGATTTAAAAAATAAACTTTTTCTTTATTTTTTTTTTATTCTTGTGTGTCAGTCATCCACACCAATCAGAAGTGCTGTGCTCCACATGTACCAGTCATTGTTAACCAATCAGAAGTGGCCCATGATAGAAGGTGATAGACAGATTGATCCAATCACCTGCCAAGTATTTTTGAAATACTTTTCCAAATGGCTTCCAATGGAGCTCTCCTAGAAGTCAGGTTAGTAATGCTCCATCACATGTTTCTATTACAGGGTGAATCTTAAACTGAAGCTTGACTTTAAAGCAGCCCAACGGACGTTTCATGTAAGTTTATTTCTTTCCAGGGTTCTTACACCTTTTCCAAAGTCAAATTCAAGCACTTTTCAAGCATTTTCAAGGTGCATTTTCCAGCTTTTCAAGCATCTTACAGCTGTTGTAAATTACATATTTATATACACATACTCAAAGGATTATTTCCCTACCTCACATTAAATCAGATGTTCTTTATGCTATAAACAACCAAATGTGTGT